CCCCAAAACCCCAAAACCCCAAAACCCCAAAGAGCAAATAAAAATTGTTAAATGTCAATAATTAAACTAATTAGAATATATGAATCAGAATTTAAATTATATACCTGAATTTTTAATATTTTTGACTGTCAAAGGAGATAACTAATTGGTCTTAATGTTGCTAATGATGTTTTCTATAGTATTGGGAGTGATATCTAAATCTTTCTTGCCAAATCTGATTTTTTAAATCTTGCTTCCCGTCCTCCAGTGCTTCTTTGAAAAGAAATTTCTTCTGAATATTGATTCCAACATGTTAAACTATTTGAAAAGGTCTTTAGTGAACTCGTTTTTAAGGTTCTAATATAAGTATTTGTCAATGCAGATTACTCCACATTCTGTTAAGGCTGAGCAGTTGTCTATTCTATTCTGGAAAGTACTATCGCAAATGCATTCTTCGCCGAAAGTCTAAGTGATGTTAGCTTTACCTAACAACTCCTAGGTTTAATTCCAGATTTTAATTTATCCATACACTGGTATGTAAATAGATTGCTTTGTCTCCCCTATAGTATAAATAATACTTCCTTTTTTGTATTATTGAAGCTCGCAAGCATTTTCCAAGATCATCTTTGAAGTAGGTCCTGATATCTTATTTAGTATAGGGTGAGTTTAAACTAGATTAAGTAATGCCATGTCAAACACTACTATGCCCCCTTACCTTACATATTACTAATAGGTTGCATTAAACAGCTTCTTTAGCTTGCCTTCCAATTCACCTTTGCTTTCTGCATTAGATTAATTTGTTATTAAAGTGGATCTATTTGAGAGTCCAGGAGATTAGAGATCTCTAGTATATTTGTCTAAAGCATTATTTAATTCACTGTCATCAGAGTCCTTCTTTTATATTTGAATTTTCTGGTCTTAATTAGGAGAGGTAACAAAATTTTATTTAGAAAGACTTGAGTTAGGGGAACTTTTAGGTTCTTGATTATCATATCTATGTTAGTTCATAGCTGTCAACCTCTTAGAATTCTGTTCTTGTTTCTAATTATTCATAAAAATCTAATTTTCTGCTTGAACTAAGAAAGACTTGTTTTTCTTGTGAGGTACTTGATAAGCCTCAACGTTTCTAGATGCCTTAAACTAATTTTGCAAAGGTGTGTTAATATTTGGAAGTACATTGATGTTTGTGTGATTTCTTTGGTGCCCTCTTACGCTCTTTAATAATGGTTCATTAATCTCTTAAAGCAGTGCTTCAAAATTCATTCTATTCTACTGTCTCTTATTAATGACCTACTCTCTTAGCTCTCTACCAGTTCTAGGAGTGTTTTAGATCATTTGGAGACCAGAATTTTGAAATATGTTGCTAAATTCATCTGTTTTTTCCCTATCTCTTATTTCTGCTTTATTATCTAAGATCCTAAGATTAATGACATGAGATTCCTATTTCAAAGTTGCATAAGCTTTTTATTCAACTAATTGAATTCTCTTCTTATCTTCATAAATGGATTCCCTATTCTTTACTTCCTTTTTATCTTTAAATCTAGTTTAAGGGGCAATCTCAATATCTTTGTCTATTTTTGGATTTTAAGTCATAACAGAACTCAGCTTGCTATGGCTTCTAATTGGTACTTCTTTTGATTATGCAATTTTAGATCTATCTTAAGTTTGTAATGTCCTCTCGAAAAAGTTACAGTCGCTTATTTTTTCTTCCTCCTACTTTAAATCAAACACACTGTAGATGAAGGAGTTTTCAATTTCGTCTAATTCTTAAATTTTTTAAATTTTTTGCTTCTGGTGTTAAACTGTTTTTTCTGTTTACTCACTTTATCTACCACTTAATCTAGGTATAGAGGCATTTGATATTTTTCTATCCTTTTCATAAATTACTTGTTATGAAAAAACTTAAGGCTTTGACCTTGTTCTTCCAAATTATTTAAGCTTTAGATTTGTGATCTAATTTTTTTAATCAGTTGTTTTATTCTCATTCTTTTTACTCTTGTTACTCATACAAAAAATTCTTCTGAAAAAGGCTCCTGCTCCTGCTGAAGGTTAATACTCCAAATCTCTTAATTTAATAGGTTTAAATTAAGGTATGGTCTGCTTTTTTTCCGGGCTTTCAGTAAGTTATGGTGCAATGACTTCAAGTTTAGTAGGAGATAAATTTGGAATATGTTTAGATTAAGGTAGATTTTCTTCATTCTAATAAGTTTCTATAGTAGGATAAGATTGCTATGGAAGCAACTAAGACTGTAAGGGGAGTTATATCTTGGATTCTTTATTTTAGATCCTACCATTTCTAGACTTTGACTCTTTTTGAGTAAGTAAATTAAGTTTAGCTCTATCAAGAATTGCTTATACTTCGATTAATTCAGATTTATTTGCATTTTCTTTCTGATTGATATTTTAAGAGGATTCTTGTTGTATAGAAGAAAGACTAATATTACTTCGCTAATTCAATGTAGATATTCACCTTCTGTTTCTTCCTACAGAACTAGTCATTCTTACTTTACCAGCAACTTTATCTACTTAGTCGTAACTGATATTACCTCGTAAAATATTTACAAGATTTGAATACTCTTCAGCAGCTGTTTTATCTCTAGAATATAATTAGTGCGAATATTAAGTACTCTAATATTGGATTTAATTGTGACATGTTTGACTCAAACTGGAAATATATATTTATTTAAAACAATATTTAATTATCATGCCGTCAGAAAGTATCTCTTTTTAAAATATCTCAAAAAATCTAAGCTAAGTCATCATCTATGCAGATGGGGTTTTGGGGTTTTGGGGTTTTGGGG